TATGAGAGACTTGTTTAGAAAGATTTGGAGAACCTGGATTGATGTCTGGACCCTCTCAGTCCCAGGAGCGAACGACTTCCCAAACAAAGAGCACAAACAAAAGCCTCCCCCCCCCCAAGTTTTGAAAGTATCTTGTCCCCTTATTGGTCCTTTGGGTCAGGTGTCAGCCAGGTTACCTGAGCTTCTTAACCCTTTACAGGTAAAAGGATTTTGGAGTCTCTGGCCAGGAGGGATTTTATAATACTGTACACAGGAGAGCTGTTACCCTTCCCTTTATAGTTATGACAGCTTCCTTCTAGGGCATCAATCTATATCACTTTCCTTCAAATCTCCGCTCAGAAGCCATTTCTTTAACTGAGTCTTCCATCACTCATCTGCCCTGCAGTGCTATCCACACATACTCACTTCCCCTATTTCCATTGACAGCAAAATCAGAACAAGCTGCAAAGACACCATAAAAAACCCAAGTTTCATCATCTTTATTTGTTGTAACTCTTTCCCTCCATTTCCTCTTCCATCTGTTTGTCAACTGTTGTTATCCTGCCATGTGTTCACTCAATGTAGATGGTAAATGCCTTAGGACGGGAACTGTGTCTCCTTATAGTTCTGTACTTTTATGGCACTTGTGGTGGGGTATACCAGGCATTTGCTGCCCAGAGTGGGAAAATTGAGCTTCCTGCAGGAAAACTCCAGCAGGCACCATCCATCTACTGACGATCAATCCATGAGAAACCCATCAGTCCCTAACACTAGGATGTGAGTATGTCTGTAGCTATAATTGGTGCATGGATATATCTAGGAGTTGTATATGTTGTGACATTCATAACTTTGTTGGTAAATTTAATAAAATGGATAAAAGATGGTGGACCTTGATCTTGTAATTGTATGTGTTACTTGCCCATGGCTTCATGTGTTCCTGTGAGCTCTAAATCTAAAACAAGCACAGGTAACTCTGTTGAATTTGAGACTGTAGCCACCAGAGCTGAACCCATGGATGTTGTCATACAACCACTAAATTTACTTTAAATAAAAATAAAAGTCTACAAAGGGAAGAGCCGCTAGGTCAGGCCTCCAGGAGGTGCCTAGAGAGGCTTCCCATGCTCAGCTGCAGGCAGAATCAGCTAGAGTTGATCCTCTAGCATCTAGAAAGGCCAGGAGCAGGCAGAGGTCAATCAGAGCCCAGCCAGCTAGAAAAAAAGGTCTGGCTGCTTTGATAAAGGCCAGATCTGGATGAAGCCAGGATTGGAAAGGCAGGCTCTCCCTGCCTTAACCCAAGTAACCCTTTCCTGGCTTTGGGTCTGTATGAAGGATTAGTTTATATTATGGACTTCAATGGTCAGTGGCTATTTTGAGTTGAGATTTACTTTGTTTTCGTTAACCTCAGAAGGGGTCTGGACTGAAAGCTGATTTGGCTGGAGGGCTAAGCCACAGAGGCAGCAGATCATTGCAGAACCAGGACCCAAGGGATGTTGGAAAGGAAGAGTCCCTGAAACTCTGCATCCTGACACGAGGAGGGCCTTCTGCTGGTGAGTGCACCCTACAACCACACTATACATATAATCAGTAATAGTAATCACCTAAAGAATTGGATGATTAATTCACTGCATTTGCTAGATCCACAGTATTAACCAGTCAGACTGCAAAAAATCTTCCATAATTTTTTTGGTTTTAGACTCAGTTTATTTCAAATTCCCCTCTGCACTAGTGATGTAAGGAGTTGTGAGTGTGTGGGAAATGTGAACTCGTAAAATCAACCCACTTCTGAGTTATGAGTGGACAAAGGACACTTTTTACCAGTCAGAAACTGGTTACACTTTCAGTGCCCTACAAAAATAGTGTGGCCCGTAACCAATTTGCTTCTGACACTCAAACTTCTCTTATAGCCTGAGATTAAATATGAGGCTTTTTATACCAAAGGGATGCCTTTTGTTGTTAAAGTTAGAGGGGGATGGTCGTGTGGTTAAACTACTGATATGGGACTTAGAAATTCTTGGTTCAGTTCCTTGTCTTGACACAGGATCCATGTGTGGCCTTTGGCAAGTCATTTGAGCCCAAGTCCTCAAAGGTATTTAGGCACCTAACTCCCACTGACTGCAAGTGAGCTGCAGTCAGTGGGAGTTAGGTGCCTAAATACCTTTGAGGGTCTGGGCCTGTTGTGTTAATTGGGTCTACAAATCTATCCTAATTGTGAGCTCAACTGTAAGAAGTGAGTGAAAGTTCATGGATGTCACAATAGCCTATCACAACAAATGTTGATGGAAAAAATTACAAAAGTGAGACAGACTGAATGGTACAGACAAAAAGGCCTACGGATATAACTCAAGCACTATGTTAAGACTGTGACTGGTAAACAAAAGGAGTAGAGGACCAGAAAGCAATGAACCAAAACTGGGGTATGAGAGATTGAGTAATTGCTGGACAAAATAATGAAGGGATGGGCTATTTTCCCTTTCACTCCCTTTTGGGATCCTCAAAGAAAGGAATGTTAGGAAAAAACTGGCTGCTGGAGTGAGCTTCACCATCATGGCCACAGTCTCCTGGGACTCCAGGCCTTCATCATCTTGATCCTGAGGGACGTCCTGACCAGACCAGGCCAGAGAGGTAGCATCGCCACCTCCATCAGCTCTGGCTGAATCCCGAACACCACCTCAGATGTGAAACTTTCTTTCTCCCCCACCCCCCAAATGTGTCCTTTCCCCTCTCTACCTTATCTCATCTCTTCCCTATCTCTACCATTTTTTTTTCCTGTTTAATAAGAGCCTGGTTTAGCTGGCCAAGACCGCATATTTTGCAACACTACTATAAGCCTGTGATCTGAAAGAGGCAGTTAAAAGCAATGCCCTAAACAACCTGATGTTCATACAAATTCACCAGATCTCATATTAGCTGATAAAATTGTATGCTTTGTCTGTTTTTCCGGCACTGAGATTGCAAGTGAGAGTCAACACCAGAGATAGAAGTTGCGTATTCTCCCTTTGCTGTTCTTTCTCTTCTCCTTTTGTCTTCTAGAAAACGGGGAGGGAGAGGGGGGCATTAACAGGAATAATGACAGTTCCAGACCATGTTAACGAACTTTCCTCTTTTCTCAAAAAATGAGTTAATCCCATCTAAGAGACTGTCAAAAAGGTTTTTATTCCTTTTAAAAACTTTCTCCAGCTAAAGAGAAAAGGGAACAGGGGATGTTAAATGAAACCCTTATTTAATACTTCACATGTCAAATGCTTTAACTGTTTTCCCTTCTTTTCTGTATCTTCATCCCAAACCTCGTTTAAAACTGTTTAATGTTAGACAGCGACTGGATCATGATAACAGCGCTGTCTTCTTGGGTCTATTTGTTCCGTCTAAATTCATACAACAGTCAGCATCCTTGGGTGGGATTTTCAAAAACACCTAAGAGACTTAGCGGAACAAGTTCCATGTGTTCCTAAATCATTTAGGGACTTTTGAAAATGTCTTCCTTTATGCCTGAGTTCCCCACCTGTAAAATGGGGATAATAGCACTGCCCTGCATCAACGGGGTGCCTGGAATATAAGTACATTAATGTTTGTGTGGTGCACAAATACTAGAGGGATGAGGTCCAGCGCTATATAGATGGATAAAGTAGACAGAGCAAAAATAAGATTCATAATGAAAAGCCGGTTGCACCCTTACCAATGGGTATGACCCTAAAATATTCAATACAGAGCCTGGCATTACTTAAGCAACATGTGATTTACACATGAAATTGTCAGTGTTCTTTGAACATAGAAATAACATCTTGCATTAGGGAAAAAAAGGATTAGGAAACTGAAATATGCTTGATTATTAAATTAGTACTCTACATGTTTATAGTATTTTAAGATGGCTTTGATACATTTCCAATGGTTATGACTTGTTACTTGCAATATTACAAACCAATTTTAAAACATTACACTGAATTCGAAGTTGATCCTTTATTACATTGAATTCGAGGTTGATCCTTTGTTACCTCGGTCGATATATCTGTGTGATCACGTACATATATCGACCGAGGTAACAATTCCCTGGAAAAAGATTTGCCTCGAGGGGAAAAAAAAATCGTGGCCCATCTAACACTACCATGCAGCCAGGGCCGGCTCCAGGCACCAGCAAAGGAAGCAGGTGCCTGGGGCGCCCAATAGAAAGGGGTGGCAGTCCATCCGTTGTCGGGGCGGCATGTCCGGATCGGTGGCGGCGGCACTTCGGCGGCAGCTCAATCAGCCCGCTCCGGATCGACGGCAATTCGGTGGCAGGTCCTTCACTCGCTGTCTTCCTCTTCAGTGGCACTTTGGCAGCAGCTCAATTGGGTTCTTTTTTTTTTTCCCACCGCTTGGCGACGGCAAAAAAACTGGAACCAGCACTGCATGCAGCAGAATAAGGGATGCAAGGAAACTGGTCTCAACAGCACTTTCAGCACCCATTCAGAATGATGCACATGCATTAACTGCAAATGTAGACCAGGCCAAACAGTGTTCAGCCCCATTTCACAAAACCTGCTGAGCAAGTCTTCAAAGTTCTCTGAAATGGGGCTGAAGCTGAACGCTGCTTGCCCTGGGCTATGCTGGCACTTACCCAATGTGCTGCTGAGGCAATGCTGAACCCATTGATGACACATATTGTCCTCAACTCTCCTACTGTGTTGCCCAGGAGGTGGAGTGCAGAAAACAAACAAACACGTGCTAGTAAAATAATGCATGAACCAGTGGTGGCTGCCCTGACAGTCTGCCAGAGTACTCAAAATGAGGCTGCTTCTGAGTGCGGTAGTTGGTTTCAGTTTCTTGGTTTCACTTTTAAAATTGCTTGAGCTGGTCAGAGCAGTTGTGGAAAACAGCTAAAAATGGCTCTTTCCCAGGTATTTTAAAGATCCTAAAGGCAGTTAATACTAGTAAAAGAAGTGTTTGGAAGTGACTGCCTATAAAGAAAGGCACTGAACAAAGGAAAAGTTACAGAAAGCAGAGTAGAGCAAAAAAGATTGGTCATTACACTGTGACCATTTTTCTCTTCTTCGATTTTTGGAACTGTGTTGGAACCTACAAGGTAATTCACATGGATCTAGAAATTAAGATGATGATGATGATTCTTAGGTAAAAAATGCACAGCAGCACAAGTTTGCCATGCCTTGACGGAGGGCTTTGTGGAATGCTCTGGAACAGCCACTGAGAAGCCAGGATTAAAACCAAGGAGAATTGAAAGTTGTGTAACAGAGAAACTGGGGAAAAAACAAAAACAAAGAAGTTGAACACAAATTCGTTCCCAGCGAATTGACTGTTTCCTTGTCTTTTGCTGTCATGCCAAATGCCAGATCCACATAAGGTAAGGTTACAACAAACTAGTACGGCCAAGCACTCGGAGTCTAAATTTTGCCTAGCCCTTGATCCTTCAAAACGTTTAAACACTTGTGATTTTAAGCACGTGAGTTGCCCCATTGCCCTCTGTGTGGCTACTTACATGCTTAAAGTCACAGGTGCTTAAATGCACTGCTGGATTGGGGCATAAGGACCTAGTTATCTGTAGTCCTTTATAAGCATGCAGAGAGTGGGTTTTTTTTGTTTGTTTGTTTATTTCCTTTCGTATGGAAAGCACTGCAATGTTACAAACTGTAAGCAGAAAAATGATGAAATAATCTCACAGTGACTCTGCTAACTGATCACTGTATATCAAGTGAAAATTAAGAGGGGAAGTCCTCACTGCTTTGATGGGAAAACATCTTATAAAGTTATTGATGCTGAAGTTGGTTGTTGTTGGAAAGGGCAAGTTTAAAAAAATCACAAGTGTTCTTGTTTCAGTGCAGTGATAAATGGTTGGAAAAACTACGTGGAGCTCAAAATGCTGTTAATTCTGTAAGCTCTAATAGAGCCAGATTTTTGGGTGCATCAAGTACGGCAGTGTCTTTCTGAATGGAAATGCAATTAAATAGTTTTTCAAATTAATCTATTGCTATATCAGGGGGGCAGGTCACTTTGTTCTTTCAGCTTCTCCTGTTCTATCATTACTGCTGCAGAAGCACTAGCCACTTGCAGCTGGCACGCCTCCAGATTGATTATTATATAACTTGGGGGTGAAAATACGGTCAAACATTCCTAAGTCGACTCACATTGTGTGTCTTGATGCCAGTAGTGGTTATTTTCTTATGGTGTGTAGGCCTGCTCTGTGATCTCGAGTGAATTTGGGCAAGTGCACAGGATGGCTTCAGATCAACTGGTTTTCTTTGTGAACGGCAAAAAGGTAAGGGATATTCCAACTTTTTATTCTCTTTGCTCTTGGATCCTGGCTGTGTTAATCATTTTATCATATTCTCTTCCACTGAAGTTTTCTAACAGAGCAGCAACAACAACCTTTAAAGTTAGCACTGTATCATAATAGTTCTATGGATAGAAATTCCATGCTTGAATAATAGAAGTATAGCAGTGGGAGTATACTACTGACCACCTGACCAGGATGGTGACTGTGGTTGTGAAATGTTCAGGGAGATTAGAGAGGCTACAAAAACAGAAAACCCAATAATAATGGGGGTTTCAACTACCCCCGTATTGACTGGGTAATGTCACCTCAGGACAGGGTGCAGAGATAAAATTTCTATTCACCATTAATGACTACTTCTTGGAGCAGCTGGTACTGGAACCCACAAGGGGAGAGACAATTCTTGATTTATTCCTAAGTGGAGCACAGGATCTGGTCCAAGAGGTAACTATAGCTGAACTGCTTGGTAATAACAAGCATATAATTAAATTTAACATCCTTAGGGTGGGGGGATGGATGCCAATGAAACCCACCCACCACAGTAACATTTAACGTCAAAAAAGGAAACTACACAAAAATGAAGACACTATTAAATGGAAATTAAAAAAGAACAATGTAATAGAGACTAATTGTATAAGAAAACAGTAAGAGAACAAATAAAATGCCACGATGGCTAAACAGCAAAGTAAAAGAGATAGTTAGAGGCAAAAATACATCCTTTAAAAATTGGAAGTCAAATCCTACTGAGGAAAATAGAAAGAAGCATAAACTCTGGCAAGTCAAATGTAAACATATAATTAGGTTGGCAATAAACAAACAAACAAACCTATTTGTAAAGCAACTACCAAAATACATAAAAACTAATAGCAAAAAATGTTTTAAGTACATCAGAAGCAGGAAGCCTCCCAAACAATCAGTAGGGCCAGTGGATGTAAAGGTGCTAAAAGCAGCACTCAAGGAATACAAGGCTGTTGCGGAGAAACTAAATGAATTCTTTCCATCCGTCTTCTCTGCAGATATGAGAGACATTCCCACACTTGAGCCATTCTTTTTAGGTGACAAATCTTAGGAACAGTCCCGGATTGAGGTGTCAGTAGAGAGGAAGTTTTGGAACAAATTGATAAATTAAATAGTAGTAAGTCACCAGGACCAGGATGGTATTCATCCAAGAGATCTGAAGGACCCCATTATGAAATTTCAGAACTACTAACTGTGATATGTAACCTATAGGCTAAATCAGCCTCTGTATAGATAACTGGAGGATTGCTAATGCACTGCAGATTTTTAAAAAAGACTCCAGAGGTGATCCTGGCAATTGCAGGTCAGTAAGCCTAACGTCAGTACCAGGCAAAATGGCTGAAACTATAGTAAAGAACAGACTTATCAGACACATAGATGAACACGATTTTTTGGGGAAGAGTCAATGTGGTTTTTATAAAGGGAAATCATGCCTCACCAATCTATTGGAATTCATTGAGGATGTCAACAAGCATGTGGACAAGAGTGATCCAGTAGATATAGTGTACTTGGACTTTCAGAAAACCTTTGACAAGGTCCCAAATCAAAGGCTCTTAAGCAAAGTAAGCAATCATAGGATAAGTGGGAAGGTCCTCTCATGGATCAGTAACTGCTTAAAAGATAGGAAACACAGAGTAGAAGTAAATGGTAAGTTTTCACAATGGAAAGAGGAAAATAGTAGGGTCCCTCAAGGATCTGTATTGGGACCAGTGCTGTTCAACATATTCATAAATGATCTGGGAAATGGGATAAACAGTGAGGTGGCAAAGTTTACAGATGATACAAAATTACTCAAGATAGTTAAGTCCAAAGAAGACTATGAAGAGTTACAAAGGGATCTCATAAAACTGGGTGACTGGGTAACAGAATGGTAGATGAAATTCAGTTATGATAAGTGCAAATTAATGCACATTGGAAAAAATAATCCTAACTATATATATGAAATGATGGAGTCTAAATTGCTTCTGTCACTCAAGAAAGAGATTTTGGAGTCATTGTGGATAGTTCTCTGAAAACATCGGCTCAGTGGGCAGAAGCGATCAAAAAAGCTAACAGAATGTTAGGAACCATTAGGAATGGGATAGATAATAAGACAGACAATATCATAATGCCACTATATAAATCCACAGTATGCCCACATTTTGAATACTGCGTGCAGTTCTGGTCGCCCCATCTCAGCAAAGATATATTAGAATTGGAAGAGATACAGAAAAGGGCAACAAAAATGATTAGAAGTATGGAACAGCTTCCATATGAAGAGAGATTAGGAATACTGGGACTGTCCATTTTAGAGAAGAGATTATTAAAGGGGGCTATTTTAGAGGTCTATCAAAATATAATGATGTGGAGGAAGTGAGTAGGGGAGTGTTATTTACCCCTTTACATAATACAAGAACCTAGGGTCAGCTGATGAAATTAATATGCAGCAGTTTTAAAACAAACATAAGGAAGTACTTCTTTACATAATGCACAGTCAACCTGAGGAATTTGCTGTGAGGGGATGTTATGAAAGTCAAAAGTATAACTGACTTCAAAAGAGAATTAGATTGGAGGATAGATCCATCAATGGCTATTAGACAAGATGTTGAGGGACACAAACCTATGCTCTGGATGTCCTTAAACCTCTGAACTGCCAGAAGCTGGGACTGGGCGACAGGGGATGGATCACTTGATAATTACCTGTTCTGTTCCTTCCCTCTGAAGCACTGGCCATTGTTGGAAGACATCGCTGCACTTCAATAGCATTTCTTAGAAAGTTACTTTACCATAAAAGTAAAGAGGTGCACTAATTTTATGTAATTACTTTAAACTGTTTCAATAGCCAAAGCAGATCTGAAGAAGGCTGCTGAAGATGTGTGTGTGTGTGTGTGTGTGTGTGTGTGTGTGTGTATACAATATATTCAAGATGACTGTGCTTCGGAGTAGGCAATAAGAAATTTAATTCAAGTCAAACATTCATCCCATCTGCATTTAAACAGCTGGAATACAGTTTACAATCAAACTGGTTTTGCACTAATAAAAACGCATACATTGCGCCGATCAGATACCAATGATCGCCCAAGAGGTGGCTGCTTTTCAGAGGTGGGTGGTGTGATTCCTGTACACAGTGGAACAGTGAATTCTGTTTTTAACAGCATCCCCTCACTCTGCAGAGGTTTAACGCTAACCAGGATTGTGGTCTGCATCCTGCAAGGCACTGAAACAAGTCAGGTCTGCCACTCTACTGCACTCTCAATAGAATTTACCTATGTCCGTGTTCAGTGTGGGGCAAACCCTGCCCCTCTTTTTATGGCAGTTGATACAATGAGACCAGTGCAGTGCTACTGTCCAGAGACTAGCATGGTGGGAAGCCATGTCGAGGTGTGCACCCCCTGTGCATTGTGGAGCACAGATCTATGGAGATTTCTTGCACACTGCTCAGGAGTAGAGCAGGAGTTGGGGCTGGGCCAGAGAACCAGTACACTGATTCACTGGCCTTTCTTTCCCATGGAGAGAACATGCTGTATGGTTTCTAGGTTCAGAGGCTGCAGTAGTGACTGTGCTGCTGTTCTGCATTCTGGGGGCAGGATTCCTATCATCCCAGTTTTCACCTAACAAGGCTGTGCGCTGTGGAGTTAATCAGCTTGGTCGTGCTGTGCATGAGGGCAGGATATGACCCTATCCCAAGTAGAGATGGGGCTGAGCTGTGAGTTTGATTCCCAATCTGGATTTGGATCCAAACTTCCCTAAGATTTCGGGGATGTTTGAAGTCAAGAGCTCTGGTTTGTACCAAAGAGTGCGCTGAGCCATGACGTTTGGATCTGAGCCTACCCAACATCTGAGGAGAGTCGAGATTTGGTGTAGAGTGTTCTGGCAGACACCATGCTTTAGTTCTCTGGTTGGAAATAGGGACTGATCATGAGGCTGCTTATGCAAGTGTGTCAAGACATAACACAGCAGAAGGACCGAGTCAGCAGAGAACTTGGTTGGTGGCACTCCTCTTCCATTGCCTATTGGAACTGTAATTGTAAGGGGTTGCTCCTGAAATCGGTGGGGATTATTTCATTTTGCACCGTGCAGGAGTATGGGTGTGAGGTACTCAGATCCTATTTGAAGGGTCGAGTACTTAAGCAGACAGACAGAATGAATATTGGGGTCCTATAATGCTACACACTGTGCAACACATAAGTAAACATTATTTCCACCCAGAGAGTTTAAACGCCAATTAGAGACGATACAAATGAGCCTAACAAACAGTTGGGGGGAAGACCCGAGGGAGGACAAAAATAACAGTAATAAATTCAGGTAGTTACATAGATTAACAGTGTTCACAGCAGTGTCATTAGGCAGGGCCAACAAGATGGGCCTTGTTCTGATCTCACAGTAGTTTTACCCTGGGGGACTCTATTGAATGCAGTGAAGTCACTCCTGACTTACACAGGTGTGTGGTCTGATTCAAGCCCTGGGTTTGATCCCGTGTGGTACTGAGCACGATAACTCCCATTAGGCCTGATACGCCTCCTGCTTACACCAGTTTTACGTTTAAGCAACACCATTTACTACAATGGTGTTCATGCTGCTTTACAACGATAGGAGTAAGAGGTGAATCTGGTCTATTGACTTGAAAAGGAGGTGTGGTGAGGGTGCCCAGCATGTTACATATTTGCTCCAATGATGAGGGGCCGCTTCCATTCCAAGGCCCCAGCTTGGCAAAGATTTAACTTTTGTGGCACTTACGCACATGCTTAAGTGCTCTGTTGAATAACTGGTGTCTAAAGGCTTTGTTGAATCAGGGCCTAAGCCCATATTTTCAGCCATTTACAACTTCCCAAATAATGGACATTTAGTGATGAGACTTCTTGTGTTTATTCTTGGTCCACAACTGCATATTTTTAGGAAAATCTCAAGAAAACCTATTTGGCCATTTTGGGTTTATTGAACCATTAAGAAAATTGTCCAGTGGCTTATTTTTTATGCCTGGATAACTCAAAAAGAGCTTTGCTTGAAAGGGCCAGGCCGGGCACGTGCATAGACCACAGAAAGGGATGTGGATTTTGCTGTGCTTGACAATAGTATGATTTTAAAATAGTAATTCTCGGAATGATCTGAAATAGGGAACTGCTTCTCATTACTGAAGTAAACACATAATGAGGTGCCATTTGCTGCAGGTGGAATGGAGGCCACTAGCCACTGGTGGCCAGAATGGCAGCCATGAATACTGGCCCCAGGTTGGGAGAGGGGATTCTATGCCCCTACTCACCAGAGCAGTTCTCACACAAAGACTTGCAGCCTGTTTACTTGGGTTTTGTGTGTGTGTGGCAGGGGAGAGGGGTGAATTTCACCGGTCAGTTTCAGCAATTGCTCAGTGGCAGTGTGAGACGGAGCACGCTGGAATGTAGGTGCCTTTCAGATTGAATGCTTATTTAAAAAAACAAATCAAGGTCGTGAGATGCCAGCCCCTTCCTTCAGATTGTTGCAGTGAAGATTCTAGAATTAGAATCCCACAAAAGTCAGGAAATTCAGAGTCAGGGATGTTGGCGTATATATCCAGCTATCATAACTAGGGTTGTGTGAAAAAAATAGGGCCTGATTTGCTGTGGGAATCTAAACTCTGAAATTCTGGACTTTCGTGTGATTATAACTTAATTTTGCACTACTGTAGGCTTTTAAAAATTACAGAATGAGTATGTTACAATATGAACCAACTTTGTGCATCTTACAGTTTAAATTTGGTCCCAGTGTAACCTGAAAGGCTCAGCAGCATGTTAACGAAAATCTGACTTTGCAAGTATGTTACTCTACTTTCCCAGATCACGTGCAGAAAACAGGTTGATGTGCACCTTCACACTGATGCCATTATAATCTTTGCAACTTTGTCCTTGAAAGGAGCCAGCATTACTGAGATATGTATGGTAATCAGGGATTAAAGTAATTTAACGGACTTACCAGTATGCAGGCTGGCCGGGCTTCTGGCCAAGGGGCGGGGCCTCTGGCAGAAGGGGCAGGGCTGGGGCCAGACTCCCCCAGCCAGCCCTTTAGCGCTGCCTGGCCCACGCCGCCCGGGGCTCCGGTGGCAATTTAAAGGGCCAGGTGCTCTGGCTGCCGCTGGGAGCCCCGGGCTAGCTGCTTCTCCCCTGCCCCCACATCAGCGGCCCTAACGGTACAGTCAGCTGTGTACCGGGGGCCACTTTCTCACCCGTGTGCCATACCAGACCATACTGGCTTACTTTAATCTCTGATGGTAATCCCCACGCTTAATATACATTCAGGGGAATGCTGCAAATACTTCTGTGATGCCAGTCACTTGAAAAGATTATATTTGTAAAGATTTGAATAGTGATGAGTGCCAGAGTCCATTTGCCGGGCAAATTATCTGTTTTGTGGTCACAAATATAGGAGCTGTATATGTAACCGCTGCCCAACTACATTTTGCAGGAGCCAATTATGAAAATGTGGGTCTTATGGGAAAAAAACCTCAAAGTACAAAGGGTGGTAAATTATCTTATCTTGAAGGGGGGAAGACAAGGTTCTAAAAGCGCCCTTTGCTTCAATCAGACTTTCAAAACTGAGAGAGATTATCTTAAATAAACTGCAGTGACTGTACTTAGGACTCCTACATTGTAAGAGTCAAGAATACATTATCACATCCTATATGTAACTTTACTGGAAATGTGCCTTGATACTCTGTTAATACTGACGGAGCAAAACAAGGCCTGCAGGTGAGAAGAAAACAAATAAAGAACTTTGATTTCTGACCACAGGGAGAAGGTTCAAGTAGAACCTAGTTTTAAATCTGATAAAATAGGTAACAGTAAACAACATTATTAAAAATCAAGACTGAGTTGACTGAAATTGCGCAGATCAAGATTCCTCCACACCAAAATCTGCCGTGTCCAGGTTCAAGATGGTTATTAATGTAACAACTTTTAATATAACATTAAAAAAATGAAGCCTGATAAACTTCATGTCAAGTCAGAATCAGTGCTGAATCTTAGGTTGTATCCCCAGATCCAACAAGAATTAAATAGCTTGTTACCTTAATAAATAACATCTAGCAAGAATGAAACATCTTATCTTAATAAATAACTTTCTAAGGTCAGCATTTGGGTTTAAGTGAGTATTTTACTCAGTATTAGAGATGGGCATGAACCAAATCCTGATCCAGGCAATCCTGAACTTTGGATCACTTAACATTTCTTTGCTCATCTGAACCAAACCTCTGAACTTCTTGAGGGTCTCACATCACTAACAGAATTTATTTACATACGTCCAAACCTATTAGAACATGGTGTTTGGACCAGGGCTTCTGCAGGAGAGATAATGGAATAAACTCCAAGATGCCAAGTGCTTTGTCCCTCCTTAGTCTATGTCTACATTACGAAGTTAAGTCTACTTAAATTATGTCGACACACAGCCACCGCTGTAATTAAACTGCTCCTGTATGTTCACACCATGATCCTTGTGTCAGCAGAGCACATCCACAGTAGCCGCTCTTGTGTTGACACAGAGCAGTGCACCGTGGGTAGCTATCCCACTGTGCAACTGGCCACAGGGTGTTTTGGGAAGGGATTTCAATGTCTCACGGGGGCAGGTGCAGAGTCACATGATGGTTTCTCAATCCCATTGTTCCATGGGCATCCTACTAGATTTCCAGCCGCTTTTCAACTGCCCTGGTAACCTGCAACCCAGCCGTCTCCGTCAGAACGCATGGATCCTGCATTGCTGTTCAGTATTGTGCTGTGCGTTATGAACACAAGTCCATAAGAGGAGCTCAATGGGGGGCTATTCAGCTGAGGGATGCCTTGAAGGAGTATATTAACACGGAACCACAGTAATGTGTGTTGCCGTAGTGTGCTGAGCCTGGCATTGTTTGTTTGTACCGTGCTATGAACCTTGTAATGATTGCTGTGTGTGCCTGAAAAGTAACACATTTTAAATCACTTCTTAAAGTAGCACTCAGTAATATGACCAAACTGACATTGCTGAACACTAACACAAGAAGCCCACAGAAGTGTGTGTGTGAGACAGAGAGACAGTGTGTGTGTTGGGCAAGTAAGGCAGAAGCTGGTGCACAGACAGGCGCCCCCATGAACTCCCACCTCAGCTCAGTGGAGACCAGTACATTGGCGGGAGAGGGGGACATCCCAACACCAGCCCCCGCCTCCCTCCCCAGCTCTGCACAGCACAGCAGTCTCTTTTTCCACCCCCAGCATCAGCCCACCCTGTCTGCCTGCTGCTGCGGTCCTACTGCCGGGGAGAGCAGGATTCCACCTTAATGTTTTGAATCTGTGATTCCCTCCAAGTTCTCCTCCAGCTTCCTCTGCCCACAGACCGAGGAGATCCACCCCCTCCCCTGTAGTCCAGGCAGGAGTGCGTTTGCTGTCAGGGAGCCAGCATGCTCAGCTGGGCAGTAGCTATGTGAGTTCTCTGTGTTGAGCAATTTCAAAACTTCCCGTGGCTTTGAAAGGGGAGGGGCACATGTCCGTGTAGCTGGCACCAGGGCTGTGGAGTTCAAACAGTGAGCAGAGAAGTCACGTTGGGCATTGTGGGATATCTCCTGGAACTCAGTTACGGCAGCATAAGGAATGCAGTGTCTACACTGACATTGCGTCACTCTAACTATGTAGCAAAAAGCTCTATGCCTCTCACTGAGGTGGTTTTATTTTGTCAGCGGAGCAGGAGAGTTAAATCAGTGAGTACACCTCCATTGTTTTGTTGACAAAAGCTGCCTTTTGTTGACAAAACTGTGTAGTGTAGACAAGGCCTTAATATGCTGCTAAATCTGTTTCTGGGACACTCCACTTTCCTGACCTTTCTTGTGCTATATAAGCAGATCTTAAAAGTGACAGGCAGTGGGAGAAGGGACAAAGTTCACTGGTGTAATGCCGTTGATGTGGACAGAGTTGCACCAGGACTGAAGTTCATCTTCAGAGTTTGTATGTCTATCTCTGTAGGTATATAAATCTTGATTATATGTTTTACAATACTTTTCTCTTCTTTCAGGTGGTGGAAAAAAATGTGGATCCAGAAACAACTTTACTGACCTACCTACGGAGAAAATGTATCCAATGTCAGGAAGAACGGTATAAGGTTTCAAATGGTTACGGCATTTCATTGTTGTTAACTGTTGCTATCCAACCCTAAACAGACAGTGTGTTTGGGGGTGAGAGCTGTATGCAGGTTTGTATTATTTTGGACTGTGAGTTCATGAGCTCATCTAAGTTAAGCAGTATCAAATCTAGCTAGTACTTGGAAGGGAAGCCTCTGAGAGTTGCTAGTGATTCAAGATACGACAGGGAGAGAGAATCATACAAAAAAGAGGCCCATAAAATTGAGAGAACAATTAATTTCTAGTCACATATAAACTGCATAGCAATTTCCTCACTGACAAATTAAGGCTGTTTCCATTTATGTTTCAATACATCAAAGCCATCGGTGCAAAGAGATTCCCAATTTAGACTCTATGTCCCTTTACAAGGGTGTAGTTCGCACTTACCCCAGGCTTGCTGCCAAGTTCTGGCAGGTGCACAGGGTTTGGAGGAGGAAGGAGGACATTAGCCATGTTTGTTTTGGGTGTGGGGCACCAGCCGGCTTGTGCTCAGGGAGAGCTAACAGCAGCGTTCTGTCTGGATGCAGCATGGGTGCACAAGGGAGGGGGGAAGAAAGAGAGAGGACACAGCAGCCATCTCCAGGCACTCCTGTTCACGAAGAGTCACCATTTGGTCTTAGGTGTTTGAGCTTGTGAATGTCTAATACAAATAATTTAATGTTTGGGATGATCATATTCTGTGGGGAAAGCTCCTGATTCTGTTGTTTTCTTAAAAATCCAGAGCTTATGGAAAGTCTACATCAGGGGTCGGCAACCTTTCAGAATTGGTGTGCCGAGTCTTCATTTATTCACTCTAATTTAAGGTTTCACGTGCCAGTAATACATTTTAATGTTTTTAGAAGGTCTCTTTCTATAAGTCTATAATATATAACTAAACTATTGTTGTATGTAAAGTAAATAAGGTTTTTAAAATGTTTAAGAAGCTTCATTTAAAATTAAATTAAAATGCAGAGCCCTCCGGACCAGTGGCCAGGACCCAGGCAGTGTGAGTGCCACTGAAAATCAGCTCGCATGCTGTCTTCGGCACACGTGCCATAGGTTGCCTACCCCTTGTCTACATGGTGAATTCTGGCTCCTTGGGGAGCTTTTCACCCACATCCTAATAAAACTGACTTGACATTGGCAGAGAAAACCCTTAGATTATGCCTTGATGGATTTCCATGAACAAGCTGTGTTTTGCTATAATAGACACATGGTTGTGCAGAGATAATCAGTTTCATGTCAATTCGGGTGGGAACCTCAATGACATTAGTATGAAAGGGCCCAGTCCTGCTCTCATTGAAGTCAATTTGCCATGGACTTCAACAGTGGAGGAGCAAGCCTAAATTGATTATCTCAGCGTGGCCATATATTTACTGCAATCAAAGGTGGTTTCTCCTTGAAAATCAGTTCTGTCTTCCTCTGCAGTGCCCGATCCAGTTCACTATAAACAATGATAAATAGTTATAAGTAATAATATATGATTTTGACACAGCACCTCTCATCCTAGAGGCTTGCAAAAGTTTGTCTTCTGACATTCCTCAGGTAAACCCAGATGATTTGTGGATGATATGAAAAGCCCTAATATGTTTCTGGGCTTAAGTGGGCATTTTTCCTGGGTTTGATGCTGCATGTTCTCTCTGTGCAAGAAACACCTGTTGAGATCAATGGGATTTCAGTGTACAAAGGGCTTATGGGACTGCGCCCTGAGTTAAGACTGCTAGGAGAATCCAGTATACTCAGGGTGAAATTCAACCTGAGCAAGAACTGATTGGAGAGAGAAAATCACCACTAGACTAGTCTTGTAGATTCTTCCCATATCAACTTGTTGTGAGGTATAGGAGATGCTCTCCACCCCTGTGGATGAGGTCATGGGGCCAGCCCATGCATCTGGTGGATCCCCCTGTGCCTCTCTACTGGCTCTGGCTCCCAGCACCTCCTTCCTTTGGGCTCCATTAGAACTTCCCTTGGCTGTGGCTGCCCCAGGACCCTTTGCAGGAGATGTCCCCATGGAAAAGGTAATACAGCCCCAGGAAATAAGAACTCATTTATTTTCGTGCATGCACTCGTACTTCTTTTTGCATGTGTGATGTATTTGCTAGTGTATATTCATCTTTCTGTATGTGCAATAAACTGACATATGGGTGATGGATTTACGGAGTAGACGACCTCAATGGGACATGTGCTCAAGTACCTTGCTGAATCGAGGCCTTACTTTAATTCCTGTTGTTATCCATGAATCTCCATAGCTATTGCACTTGTAGGAGAGAACTTCTGTTTTCATCATCTTTTTAGTTACATTGTTTTTCTACAGACTCCTGAATTTGACCATCAGAAACAAATTTTGAAAACTGGGCTCTAAATCTGTCTGACTAAAATTGGCTACCTATGTTTTTGCTGACTTAGTTTTCTCAAGTTATATGTTTTTGTGTGTACCAGCACCTACCTTTTTGCTCACTTACTTGTTCCACATGTTTGTATTGGTGTCAAAATCTCAGATGCAGGTACACAAACATATACCCACATAGAACCTGCTTCAGTACAGAACCACACCCCCCACCCCACACACACTGACTTCAACATCCCTGGTTTTCATCTATTGCCTCACACTGGAACCCATATGGGGTATCATCAAACAACTACAACTCATATTTGATGGGGACCACATCCTGAAACAAATCTTTCCTGAACCCCCTCTTTTGGCCTTCAAACAACTCCCCAAACCTTGTCAAGCTCATCATCAGAACCAGGCTCCCCACAGACCAGGACCCACCAACTCAAAGCGGCACCAGACGCTGCCAGAACAATAGATACAAAACCTGCAGACGTATCTCCACTGCTACAATGATCAATACACCCCACAACACACCTTTCATGGGTTCTACACATGCTTATTGCAACATGTTGTGTATCTCATCCAGTGCACTAAATGCCCCATAACAAATCTGCGGGTGAAATCAGCCAATCACTACACTCTTGAATGAACTCACACAGAAAAATGATAAAAGACAAAAACACTACATCACCCTTGGGTAAACATTTTTGACAAAGTGATCACTCCATACCTGATCTTTCAGTACTTGTCCTCAAAGGAAACCTGCACAACATCTTCAAAAGGTGAGCCTGGGAACTTAAATTCATAACAAGACATTAAAAACCCTGGACTTGACAGAGATGCTGGTTTCATGGCTCATTACAATTTGTAACACACCTGCCTGCTAATCTGCAATAGTCCACTTCAAACCCCTTTTGAATAACAGTCTAATTCTTATTGCCCACTCCATTTCAAGTGGCTGCCTACAACGTGTACCCCTTATACTTAACAGCCAGCCCCAACTTGTGTCCAGCTCAGACACTCTGATTTCCTTCCCCAGACCTGAAGAAGAGCTTTGTGTAGCTCTAAACCTTGTACCTTCCACCCACAGATGTTGGTCCAGTAAACTATATTACTTCACCTTCCTTGTCTCTCTCTTTTCCCGGGATCAATATGCATACAACAACACTGCAAAAAACAAATTAAGAAAAAACCAACTTTCAGCAGTATTTCCTCCCGTACCCCCCCATTTTTTTTGGGGTCAAAATTTGAAAAGTTATTGAAAAATGTCAAGATTCAAAAAATTGTAACCAGCTCTAATAAGCATATTAGGTAGTTAACTGCCTTATTATCAGATCTTCATGTGTCAATCCTGTAGTCTTCACGTCAGTATTTGAGGCTTTTCTTCTGTAAAAACTAAGTTGTTGATAAGGGAAAATGTAAAGAAAATTAGGAACTCAGTTTTCAGCCAGAACCTTTGGAAAACTTTGTCTGTAAAAGAGTTGTGGGCTGTACATTTGCCAGGGCTATTGTTATGCTTCTGTATTTTCCTTAACCCTTGTTCTCTCAGTGGGGCTACCTGGAACCAAGCTAGGCTGTGGAGAAGGTGGATGTGGTGCTTGCACTGTTATGATATCCAAGTTTGACAACTCCCAGAAGAAAATCGTGTATCCTTTGCAAGCTGAACCTGTAAACTGAGAGGGAAATGAAAATAGTCATGAATCCAGATTTTTCCCTTCGGGATGCAGCATGTTTATGATTAAAGAAATGTTGTTACATAATGTTATCTTTCTGCCAAAGCCTCAATCCACAATTCAGGACATAAACTCAGCAGGTACAAGAAGTTATTTCCTCCAACAGTATTGTACAATGCTTATGAAGATTTTACATCTTGCCTTGAAGGATGAGCACAGGCTCTTGTGACAGACCAGATGGCAGCTTAGATGGCCTTTCCCGAAATGGTAACCTTTATAACCCTAATGTAGCATTCTCCTGTTGCAATGCAGCCCCGCTTTTGCCCTGGCAAGAATAAAATTACAATTACCCTGCTAGGATCTTTATTACTATTACATTTTTGGAATCATCTGGCTTCTGTGTGTCTGTTGATATCCACTGTATCTGCAGCTATCCATTTAATCTGCAAAACAATTCTTTCTGTTTGGCACATGGAATTATGTCCTTCTTAGTTCTTGATCGTTTGTGGAGCTAAGCAATGAAATCAAACCAAGAAGAAGTAAAACACTGATTATTCTTTCTGTGGAGAATGGCAGAATCTTCAAATAGTGAAAATGCTGTGGATATTTTACCATGGGTTGGTGAACATCTCTAATGAGGTCAAAGGGTGACCAAGAAAAGAAAAAGGATGGTGTCTCATTAATAAATCCCTTCAATCATTCTGTCCCCTAGCAGCCAGAATATTTATTTATTTAATTTATTTTTGGGGCTACACAGGTTGCAGGGATCAGGAGAGCTAATTATGAGGAAAGTTCCAGCTACATTGTTTGATTTCATCTTTAATCAGAGACATTGTCACTTTGTTCACCACCTACAAGAGGTGTGTCTGAGGTGTCTGAGCACGGGGCTGGAAGCCAGGAACTCCAGAGTTGTTATTCCTAGCTCTCATGTGTGGCCTGGGCAAGTTATGTGACATCTCTGCCGGTTTCCCTATTTGCTGTATACTCATTTAAACTGCCTACAGAGATGTTGTGCTTTGAGAAAGACTAGTGCTGTTACCACTGGCCCAAATCCTGCCGTTCTTGCTCAGGTGAAGTCACTGGGAGTTTTGCTTGAGTTTGGGCGGCAGGATTTGGCTGGTTGTTAATAAATATGTCCAGTCTGTCCTGTCTTATTTAGGTTTGTACGCTACACCCATCACCATGGCATTTGAGTTCCTTTCAGAGGTGCATTAAGCAACAAAGGGTGCATTTGGAAATTTCCACCTGGCCCTTCCCATCCAATGAAGAAGGTCTAGATATGTCCCTGAGAGTTTCAGACTTCACAAGGACTCTGTTTTGCCTGAGTGGAGCTGTCATGATTCCGGTGTTCTGTCACAGGCAGCATTGCCTTTCTTTAGCCCATTTGCTTGTCATAACCAGGCTGCCTGGAATTGCCACTGTATATATCAGAGGCTGCAAAGCAGGCAAGCATCATGATTCCCTGTTCCCTTTGTTGAGCACTGTGGGCAAATGATTTTACAAATGAAGTGACCTTAACTTATGGTTCTAGCCACTACTCTGTAAATGCTTGTCTGTTCCCCATCTGCGCATTGCATAACGTAGCAGTGACTACTGTTGAAGGCATAGGGAGCACAAAGACAAGGTTGCATCCCGTCCAGGTGAGCTGTCTTTGCTGTTAAGTCTTAAGACAATGTAACCTGTGGCAGGCCTCTTTTGCAGATTCACCCTGTTAGCGTAGGGTTCTAACACCTGGTAAGTTGCTGCTTTCTGCTGACCCCTTAGGGGCATGCATGGCTTGTTAGCTCTGCCCTGGATACAAGGGAGGTGGGAACAGCTCCTTGGGCAGTGGGACCATGGGCCTGGGACAGACAGCTTCTACTGGAAGAACTCTTGGAACAGCCTACCCTGGGAGGTTGAGGTTTATCTTGTGTTGTTCTTACTTTCCATATGAATAAAGCCAAAGCCCGGAGGGTGTGGGTTTCACCTTAGACCGCATGCGCAGACTTTGCTGGTAGTGGGAATGGCGCCTCCGCATATGTCTATATTGTAACTCTCTGTTATAAGCAAACATGATATTAGGTGTCATTCCAGCTACACTGCTAGTGTTCTTGCTTTGCCCTGCAACGTTGTATTGCTCCAAGTCCTACACCAGGAGTGATCTTGTGGCTAAAGCACAGGACTCGGAGCAGGGCTGCGCAGGGCCTAGGTAGAACAAAAAGTGCAGTTTGCCCGAGGGTGCCCAAAATGATGGATAGGTGGCTGCGGCAAATTTAAGTGTGATCTGGTGCATGGGATTGCAGTGCTACTCCTGCTTGGCGCCCACCATCAATAGTGCGAAGAGCGACTTGCCTGCCCCAGCTGGGCCCATATCCCACTGTTGCTGGAGCTGGCATCATTGAACCAGACCTGAGGCAACCCACCATCCTGGTAGCCCAGAGGTCGGAGTAGGGTCGGGAGTTGGGAATACCACTCCAGCTGGCAGTGGGGCCAGAGCTCAGGGAGAGGCAGGACTGGAAGCAGCCCCTTGGCTGCATGCAGGCAGAACCCCCACATCCTCATGGGGTGGGAAGCAACACTACAGGCCTGGACCCTCTCTTACCTGCCATCCCCTCCCCTCTTCTTTAACCTCTTTCATCTCCATCGTAATATTTTGGAAAGGCCGGAGGCCACAGTTTCAGATTTTGTCATTCCGGGGTCCCTCAAAAACCAATGTGTGGCCCCTACTGGGAGTCAGGAAATCTAAGTTCTGTTCTTGGCTTTGCCTTGGCCTTCCTGGATGACCTCGGTCAGGAACTCAGTTTCTGTACCTGTAACATTGGGATTTTACTATTTACCTCCCTCACAGGGGCATTGCTGAGGATTAATTCAGTAATGTTTCCAAAGGGTTCTGGAAGTTGTGAGAGAAATACAACATGTTACTATTATACACTGGTGATACTACAGTGCAGTGTTTGGAGATACTAGTTGTTTCATCTTTGCCAGAGATGCTGCCCTTTAGATGGAAATTAAGTTTTCCTCTGCACATAGCTAGCAGCTTGTATAGATTCTTTCCATGATGGTAAACCACAAAGAGAGAACACTTAGACCTAAAGTGAGATGGATGGAGATTGGGTGGCTCCAATTGGATAGAGCTTTTTCCTTTCCCTACCACCTCCCCACCCCCCAGGATCCAAACACATAAGCTTTGAGGGAAAAGGGTTTGAAATCCAAAGGCACAGCTGATTCTGACCAATAGCCCCTATCTTTATGATGGAGCAAATGGAAACCCAGGGACTCAAATACTCTGAGGTAAAATCCTGGTCCCAAAGAATTCTATGACAAAACTCCTGTCAATTTCAGTAGGCCAGGATTTAGGGGGGTGTCTGAAATCCAGACCCCAATTTTGCAGTATGAATTCACCTCATGAGTCTGTCTGAAACCCATCTGAATGGACTAAGGCCTTGTCTATGCTACAGGGAAAAGTCAATCTAAGCTACGCAATTTGAGTTACGTGAATAGCGTAACTCAAGTCGATGTAGCTTAGATCTACTTACCGCGCGGTCCACACTACGGGATGTCAACGGGAGATGCTCTCCCATCGACTCCCCTTACTTTTCTCGATCCAGTGGAGCACAGGAATCGACGGGAGAGCGATCTGCGGTCAATTTAGCGCTAAATTGACCGCCAATGCATCGATCACCGTGCGTCAATCCCCCGGTAAGTGTAGACAAGCCCTAACTCCTTTGGGAGGAGCTGCCCAGAGACGCGAGGAAGCACTGACTAATGAGATCAGGAAATCAGTGTAGTGCTGCTAACAAGAGCTTGTTTGTGTTTTGGTCACTTTTTCCTCTCAGGAGAGAATAGCAAAAAGCCATGGATCCCAGTGTGGCTTTTGCACTCCTGGCATTGTCATGTCCATGTATGCATTACTTCGCAACAGACCTCAACCAAGCATGGAGGAGATTGAAGAGAATTTCCAAGGTAATGCCTGTTCCAAAACAGACCTGCAGGCAGGCATCTTGTGCTTTTTCGGGGGCTACATTTCCCTCCCCAAGTGGGACAGAGTGCACCTAACTTGATTGCTTTAAAACTGGCCAGGTACTATCAAAGTAAGACCCGGATTGTCTACAATGAGTTGTTCACATTACATTGCTCAGGAGTGTGACGTGAACAGATTCTGGCCGGAAATAGAGGAGAATTCCCATTGTTGTTGTGAATTATCTGCATTACCATAGTGCATAGGAGCCCCAGTCGTATACCAGAGCCCCATGTGCTAGGTGCTGTGCGAACACAGAACAAAAGGGTGGTCTCTGCCCTAAAGAGCTCACAAACTAAATAAATCACCTTATGGTGGGTAGGGGAAACTCCTCGCTGGCATAGAGCCAATGGAGATGACAGAGCTAGCTTCTGCACCAACCACCAGCCCCACAGGTGTGCCCTGGGCTGGGGATGTGGAGGAGCAAAACTCCATTATGCCAATTCTCCTCTTGTGTAGGTTAGAGCAATCTCTTGGTTGCTTTAACTAATACTGGGGCTGGGATTGGGCTCGTGCTGAATCATGGAGTTGTGACCTGCACTACAGTGGCCACGGCTGCTGAAGAGAGGTCGGCCACAGGAGAGAAATGAGCTCTCTGTTGTTCCAGACATTACATAACTGGCATGTTGAGATTAAACACGTGCAGTCAAGGCAGCTGAATGCTAAATAGAGAGAGCTGAAATTTTTGAAATGTCAGTGAAAATTTTCATTGCGATTTTGAATTTCTACATAAAAAAGAGAGTGGTGGATTTTGTGCAGAAATATTCCCAAAATTTCACTTCCCCCCATTTTCTGATTAGCTCTGTCTAAAGTTGAGCTGGGGAAAACCCTCACAGAATCAGCCTCTGACGTGTGCACAGAAAACACTGAATGACTCTTAACCTTTCTCCCTTTGCACTGGCCATGCAGGAAACTTGTGTCGCTGTACAGGATACAGACCCATTCTGCAGGGGTACAGGACATTTGCTAGGGTAAGTGGCCTCAGATAACATTGCACATTTCTGGAAGGCATTCAGCAGGCTGACTTGCTCAACTGTTGAGAAAAGACACTGTTGGACTGGGAGAAAAAGGGAATCCATATGCCAACCAGCCCCCCCCAACTCCCCAACCAAATCCTAAACACAGCCCTGGATCCTATCAGTACGTGCGTTACATATTGATAACATGACAAGACCTACTCATTAACGGCAGTTGCTCAGGTTAGCTCCCTCTAATCACTAAAGTGCTCAGTGCGGTGGTCCCATGTCGGGTCACCAGTAAGCAGGCTTCTTTTTACAGTGCTTTTGCTAAGGCTCTTAAAAATACAGCATCCCACAAAACAGAGCAGCTCCCAAATCACCTGGGTATGTGCAGGTATAGAAAGGTGCCTAACTACGGTGCATGACTAGGGACATACAGCTGCAGAGCCCAATTGGGCAATTACTTTTATGAGAGTTGAACTGCAAAACTAAAATGAAAATGGTGTTAAGCTGAAATGTCAGTGCTGAATATATCCCTCCCCACACACACTACCCACCTGGAGTGGGGCATTAAGCACAGCCATACACTTTTTACTTATTTTTTAAAAAGTCTCCTCCGGGGGGTGTATGGAGAAATGGAGCACCTAGATACTACATTGATTGGTATTATGGACATACCTCAGATGGGTAGCGAACACCAAGATATAAAGCAATGATTTAGCATGGTGGACATGTATATTATTCTGTGTAATGGATGAAATTAAAGAGGAAAATATAGGTAGTTGTGAAACCCATTAGATACTGGAGCAATCTCCAAAAGGAGATGGTGGAAGCTCCACTACTTGAGTTATTTAAAAGTAAACGGCATAGAATATGCTGTAAGGGGCCATTCAGACCCACTGAAAGGGAGAGACCTAATTATTTAGCATCTTCCATCTCCAATTTCTCTGTTTCTAAGATAGAAATTATAAATGGGGGAACAATTGCTTTTTCAAGTGGATGAAACTTATTTAGCTTTTTTGAAATCTACAGGTTTTTCTCTAAGCAGTTTTTTGCCTCTGCAGGACTGGAGTTGCTGTGGGGAAGGAATCAATGGGCCAGGCTGCTGTATGACTGGAAAGGATGGAGGCTGTTGTGGTAGAAAAGTCAAGGACCCAGGTTGCTGCATGAATGAGACAAAAGACAATGCAGTAAGGCCTTGCCACACCTTTATTTTTTCTCCGCTTCTTTGTTAGTGTTTTGTAATTCAACTTTTATTTTGTACGTGCCAAAGCCTGAATCTTTCCTCTGATCTTATTCAGGCAAAGCACCTCAGACTGAGGGCTTGTCTACACTTAAAATGCAATAGCAGCACTACTGTGACATTCAGTGTAGACACTACCTATGCCAATGGGAGGGCTCTCCCTTCAATTTATGTAATCCACCTCCCTGAGAGGTGGTAGCTAAGTCGAATTTGAATTCTGAAGAGAATTTTTCTGTCGACCTAACACTGTCTATACAGGGACTCAGGTCAGTTTAACAACACTGCTCAGATTGTGGATTTTTCACACCCTGACTGATTTTGTTAAACCAACCAGGCCTCACTTTGCTTTTATTTGATCTGTGCTCAGGCAAATCTACTGCTGAATCTATTCAATTACCCCAATCTAACATTGCTATAAGTGAGACTGGAATAAAACCCTGTGTGTTTAGCCAGGCAAACTCCCGCTAAGGACAGATAAATATAAGTGGGGAGCTCAAGTTCTGGGCCATTGTTTAATTCATCTGTCTGTGTAATTCCACTCTATTAGTTGTACTGTTCATCATTTAACTAAATAATGAAAAGCATTGTATCAGAAAGGAAAAATGAACCAGAGTTACATGTAGACGGAGTTAAGTTCTCTTGTTTTGAGAAAAGAAATTTCTCTAACAGGAATTTGCTTTGTTTAACAGGCAATGGTGTCCTCCATCTTGTTCAACCCAGCTGAGTTCCAGCCTTTGGACCCCACCCAGGAGCCTATCTTCCCTCCAGAGTTGCTGGTAGGCGCATTCATGCAGCAGTGAATGCAGCTCATTGGTCTGTTTCTCTCACCTGGGCTTTGAGTGACCCATGTGGCTCTTGCCCCAAGGAGCTTACAGTGTAAAAGACAGGCACCAATAAAATAAGACACATTTGCTGACCCAGAGCAGGCATTAGCATTCCAGTCTTTCACATAAGAGCCCTGCCAGAAGAGGCTTTCCATGGGATACACAGGATAAGCTGAATCAGTGCATCCCCCATTTCCGGTCAGCACTACTCACTGTCAGAGCTGCTCTGGCTTCCTCTCCGATCATCCCCCAACTCCCTATAAAGGAACAATTACGGAGGCTTGTGTCCCTGCAATCCCAGGCTGGGCAGACTTTCTACCACCAGATGCCCTGCACACTGATTGCACCATCATAGCCCAGAGTTGGGTCCACCAGGTGGGTGTGTTCTCTGCCTCCTATACATTTAACAAATCACCCTTAAAACTCAGTAGTTATGGCCGCTGGCAGCTCCCCTTGACCCAACTCAACATTAGCCAGTGTGCTGGTGCTCCCTTTGTGAAGGTCACACTGAGTTTGTTTATGCCAACACCAGCTCCCTCTGTTTCATTTGTAAGAAGTTCCCGTGTTACTGGAGGGCAGCAATTTGGGCTGACTCCTATCTAGTTTCCGCTTCCTAATAAGCAGCAGTCATGAGATAAGGAGAATTGGCAAAAACAAAGTCGGGGCAGGGATTCTTGATGGAAACATTTCACGATCTGTGTCTGTCCCATTTTATTTTCTCAGACGCAGAAAGACAAACCCCAGGAACAGCTGTGCTTCAAAGGCGAGCGTGTGATGTGGATACGGCCCACGACACTCGAGGAGCTGCTGGCACTCAAGGCCCAGTACCCCGATGCTAAGCTCGTTGTAGGGAACACAGAAGTTGGTAAGAGGAAGAGCTGAGGCTCAGTTTGAGCAGTTGCTAAAGTTATCCACAGAAAGGTTTTCCCAAGCACAATGCAAAACCAGTCTGGACTTCCTTAAAGCAGCCCAAGTTAAACCCCCATGGGAGTGGTTTCTGCAGGGCATGTCGAGGAGGATTTTACTTCTTCCCACATGGATCAGTCTCACGAACATCCTTGTGTCCTGTTTGTTGGAGCAAGCTAAATAAGTGCTAATTCAGATCGGTGGCCCTTTCGTTCTAACTTGGTGCCAGTTATTAATGGGTTATTGACAAGAAGAGGCACACAGATACACAACAGACTGCTCTGGTTTTCACAGGAAGGGAAGAGAGACACTGAAAATGTACTTGGGTGAATCCAGTCCTGAAACTTTCAGCTGTTTACCTCAAGTTGTCCAGGGACTAGGCAAACCTCTTAGGAGTGAGGGTTTGCAGTGCTCTCAAACTTTTTTTTTTTTTGGTCAGTGGGTGGAGAGGGAGAGAGAGATTTGCAAAGCCAATCTGATTTCATGAACAATTTCCCTCCTGCTATCTAATCCTATTTTCCTGGTCAAGTGCTGTTCAGCCTAACATGATGATAGCAATGAGTCAGTTATGTCCACATGCAATCTGGGAGCTCCTTCACAGGAGAAGAGGTTGGTGGATATTGCAGATTGGAGAGACATCTCATGGGTTCTAGCCCTGAAATGTTATTACACAAATGCCACCATTGGCCAGTGATAAATGTGGCCCTTCTTTGGGAACTCTTTAAGCCATTACATAACCGGTATAGGCTGTGGTTACTGAAGTTCACTGATCTTTGTTACACAATAATGCTGCCTTTTCCCTGAGAAGCGACTAACTCAGGGAATCTTGTTTTTCTTTGAGGTATTGAGATGAGGTTAAAGAACATGCTGTATCCAGTGATAATAGCACCAGCTTGGATCCCTGAAATGACCTTTGTTCAGCACACAGAGGCAGGTAGGTAACGAGTATTCATAATGCTATGTAGTCAGTGTGACCTTTGGGAAAGGTACAAGGGAGGGGCTGGGTACACTGCCCCAAAAACAGAGAAACTAGAACTGCATTGATTAGGATGAAGGACCCCCTTCTTTTATTCCCATCACCTTTTCTGAGGCCAGATCTGTTCAGCTTATTCATGCTAGGAGTGCCACTGAAATCAATAGGACAGGTTGCATGAGTAAGGGACGCACCTATTAGCCGCTCATCATTATTCTGAGATTAACTAGTTGAATTGTTTCCCCTTTATTGGGAGTAGATGAGGGGGAAGGCAGATCTGAGTTAAATTTCAATACAAAGATTTCACAGTGCCCAGATGTTGTAAAGATCTGGAAACACATAGTAGTAAGGGCCAGGAATGGTCATTACTGGGAAAAATATTAGAAATTTCATAGCAGTTCCATGTGAGGTGCTTTATGCAAATTAATGGGTTAATTTGCATATTAGCTAATAATTTGCAAGTGACCATAATCTTTCGTTTTAAAAAATTGTGCTTATAAGGCAGTGGTTTGATAGCCCATATGAATGAAGTCCTGAGCTTATCTGGCTGGCAGAAGCAGGGCAAACTTCCCATTCACTTTGCCCTGCCACTATGACTCAATCTCTACGGATATGTCTACACTGCAATTTAAGCACAGGGTTAATATGACTTGAGTCAGATGACCCATGTTAGGGAACCTTGGACTTGAGCATCTATGTTGTATATTAACCCTATCTTAAGACTTTTCTAACCCAAGCTCAAATCTAGGGCTCTGGCATCCGCCCTGCAGGGTGCAGACCCAAGTCAAAATAACCATATCCCAGAGTCCCTAGCACTCACTCTCCTTCCTCCCACCCCCAAATATGGCTGCTCTAGCCCTACGACCTTGGCGCACTGTGGGAAAACTTTACTACCCACCCTGCACATTAGCAGGAAGCAGCTCGCTTTGCAAAAGGCATGATCAGTTTGTGCTCCTTGGCAAACCCAGGAGGCTCTATGATAGTGCGCTTGCAGATTGGTGATAAGAACAGAATAGGATAATGCTGACCTGAGCGGCTGCCATTTGCAATAGAGTGGATGGCAGATTTTTGGGATAAAGGAGAGTAAGGAAGTTGTCCCATGGAATTGTGGGATACTTCTGGCTGACTCCCAGGACCCAAGTCACGCGGGGCAATAGGGCTGGG